AAAAAGACAGTCTTGCTAGTCAGTTCAGGCTGGTCTTGAACTCACAATGAGCCTCCTGCCTCAGCCTCCCAAGTGCTGGGATGACAGGGGTGTCTGATTTTTGGGTTTTTTTGTTTTGTTTTGTTTTGTTTTTTGATGTATGGCCAGGCACTCAATTTCATACAGGTGTATCCACATACACACACATTCCACATACACATCCCTCCTTGGAACTGGCCCCTCTTTGCACACTCATCTGCGTGTCCCGTGTGCGTGCAGGTGTCCTTTCCACAGCTGGGCAGCACCTTCTCTCCCCTCCCCACCCCAGCAGGGACTTTTCACCCATGGTCTGAGCCTCGGCGGGATACTCTGTCCTTTCGCCACCTCCAGGGTACCTTCCTGACCCCTTGAATAAAGAAATGGGCTTTTTACTTTCTAGTCATCCAGAGCTACCTATGGTGTCAGTCAGAGTTGGGTGGCGACATTTCTCGGGTGTGGGCACTGAGACCCCTAGCTCTAGGTGGCAGGCAGAGAGGCCAGGTGGAGCTCCAAAGAGGAAGCAGCCTGGGTAGCGCTGGTTTCCCTGGCACCACCAAGATCTGGAAGAGCAACCCCAGCAGCTGGCAGAGGACTCACAAAGATTTATTTTTTTCATGTCAGCTGAACAAAATATGGGCAGCTGACCTGGAACTGAGGGCTCAGGTGCCATTTGGTGGCTCTGTGGCACGGGGCGAGTACTGTGACCTCTCTAAACCTCAGTCTGTGCATCTGCAGAGTGGGAGGTCCACTCGTGGTCCCGGGGTGAGTATCTGTGGCATGGTAGGGACACACAGAACTGCCCCTGCTGGGGCGATGGCGTGACCCTTCTCTGTGGCCAGGAGCCAGGCCTGTTCCTGAGAAGTCAGTCGGGTCAGCGGTCGCTGATGATTCCCTTCTCAGGTGCTTCTAATGCTGTGCTATTACATTCTCACAGCTACCTGACCTTGGAGGAGGTGGGAGCACGATTATAATTGGTTTCTTTTTTTTTTTTTTTTTTT